AGTCTCATGAAGGCTAGAAAAAGGGGATCAGATCTCCTGAAACTGCTTTTACAGATTGGTGTTAGCTTACATGTGGATGCTGGGAATCTAAACCAGGTCCTCCAGAAGAGCCATCAGTGCTCTCAACCATGGAGCCTTTTCTCCAGCCCCAAGGACAGCTACCCCTCTCATTCTGAGCACAAAGGACACCAAAGGCTACCTGTGTATGACGAGTCAGTGAGGTACTTGCTGGTCCGGCGCAGGTATTCTAGCAGTCCAGCCAGCTCCTCAGGGACACCCCGGGAGACCACATTGAAGAGTCGGTCACGGTCAAAGCGATCTGGGTCCTGCTGGCTGTGGAAAATGTGTTTTGTGACTCATGTTGGAGAGTGGCCGCAGTCTCTCCTGAACAAAGTCTTATCATGCATGGAACCACTGCCCGTTACTCCTGCACTCCTTTGTCCTCAGGTTACACGGGGCTTCTCTCCCCTAGGGCTCCAAAGGCTCAGAGCTCCTGGTGAGAAGAAAACTCACTGGGTCTTTAATCTGCTGCAATACTGTGGCTCTGTTCATCCCAGGCAATTGTCAGGATCAAGGGTGTCATCTCTCAAAAGACTCGTTATCCCACAGGGATAACACACCTTACAGTGACCCTTGCACATCTGCATGGGTCTGGACAGAGTCGGATGAGGACTAAAGGCTACATTCATCACTGACTTGGAAGATGAAATGGAAACAGGGATAGAGGGAATGGAGGGGATGGAGGGATGGAGGGATGGGGGATGGAGGGATGGAGGTGCATAGCTCAGCAGTAAAGTGCTTGCTTAGTGTGCATAAGGCCCTAGGTTCATCCCAGCACGAGTAAAAAGGTTGAGGAAAGCTTTTTACTCCTCTTCTCAGAAACCATCCATTCATTAGTTGGAAGGAGTCTGCACTATTAATCTGCACTCCAGGCCTACAGGTAGTGAATCACCCTTTTCTCCATTAGGCACACAGAGCAATCTACTCAAAGTCACACAGAGCAGAACCCAAGCCACCATGGGGGCTGCCTAATATTAAGCCCCATCTCAACCCCCAAGAGAGAGGGTCTGAACTAGGTAAGCAAGAAGTTTCGCAGAGATAACCTATCACCTTCACCCAGCACTGATATCATCTGCTGACCACGGTTTTACTGAGAAGCCACACTTCTGGGAAATTTCTTCCACAGAGTCCAGAAGAGGCCTCTTGTGGCTCCTCAGACACAGCCTGGTATTGTCTTGTGATGGGAGACAGTTGTCTAGTGAGCTGGTGCTATCTCTCTCACAACCACTTAACCAACCTCTCTTAGTCTATTTTCCTCTTTTCAAGGGTTGTTATAAGGACCCAAGGAACTATCATAAAACAAAGTGCTCTAGCCCATACAATGGGTCTGGTACACAGCACACTGGGTCCGCAAATGAGTCTAGGCAAACCATTCCTAGGCCCTGTCAGTATTCACTAAGGCCTGCCTAACGTTGGGGCCTCTGGATCTATGAAAAGAAGACATGGAGGGAGAGAGGGCAACTTAAGAGGAGAAGGCTACTGTATGACATAGGGACCCTCAAGTCTCAGTTTAACATCTGTGGAAAGCCTGTAATCCCCACCAAATGTGAGGCTGAAGCAGGAGGATCACCCCAAATTGGAGGCTAGCCTGGGCTATATATATAGCAAGATTTTTATCTTAGAACAAGAAAGCAAACAAGCAAATCTCCTGTGGAATGAGCTGAGCCAGTAACAACTGATGACTCTGACACATAGGATGACTAACTGGGTCATTCACACTTGAAGACATACAGCCATGGTGCACTTAAAGCTGGTGCTCATATCTGCTACACCACACAGGCACATGTCTGAGTCATTCCAGCTAGATGAACATCATTCATCCAGTTAGCCCTACGGCCGCAGACTATGAAGGACCTTGTGTTTTGTCTGCCCTGAAAATGTCATTTGGACACTGCTCCCGGCCACTAGGGCAGCGATCATGGCCTTGGACTAGGGAAGCAAAGAAAGGCACTGCCTGGGATTCTAAAGGGCATCATGGAGCCCATTCTATTGCTATCAAACCAGCTCCACTACTCACAGATGCCTCCCGTGCACCTGTGTGTGCTGTCACCCAACCTAGTCAACTCTTCTCTGACACAAACAACACAGTGTGCCAAGGTTAGTGGCCACATCAGGGATGAGCTGGAAGAAATGGACTTTCTTGGCAGTCTTGCCAGCCCATGAGGATTCTGGGAAGCCAGGTTCAGTACCCTAGCAGGACCAGAAGCAGAATGCCCCAAGACTCAGCCCCTGAATTGGACTACAACACAGGAAACCCAAACTGCAGATGACTATAAGAGAAAGCCCACTCTCCTCAATTCTCAGGGTCCCCATTGCCTGAGTGACTATGTCAGCCTTGGAGTAAAGCAGGGATTTCCAGATGTCTTTGTCTCCCCCCTCCTATCCCCCATGTGCTGTGGATTCTGCTACGGCCACCAGCTACCACTGGGACCAAAATGGGTGGGAGTCAAAATATCAAGAAACGGGATTTGATTGTCAGTTGCATACTGGTACTGGATGAAAGTGTCTCTACCAGAAGCATAATCTTGGCAGAAGGCCAAGAATGGAGAACATTCTGGGAGGAGTAACCCTAGAGAGCATGACATGGGACTGTGGAGCTAGGCTATGAGGAAGAGACACTTGTGAGGGACTGGCCACCTAGTGCCTTGGAGTGCAGTGTGGGAGCTGCTGCCTTACCTGGGACCCAGTCCCTTCTGGTCCTCGCCCTGGAAAGGTGACTCCATGGGGGGTGGCTCATGCTTTCCTTTGTTCACCTCAGTACCACCTTCTTCATCTCCATCAGATGTCTCTAGCCTAAAAGCTGGGGGGCTGGAGGCTGAAGTCATCCTGAGAGAGGAGGATGCTCCTTACAGCTGAAACTTCTGTGGAGATGGAGATGTTAAAGGTTTCCCCCTCTCTCATCCCACAGTGGGGTAGGCCTGGCTGGGACCTGACGAAGGTGCTAGAGAGAAACAGAGAGCAGGAGCTGGGTAAACTGTAGTAAATAGAGTGCTTGTTTACCATGCACGGTGCTGGCTTCTATGCCCAGCAAAGCATAAGCCACCTGTAGCAATCCAAGGGAAGGTCCTGGAGGGATGGCTCAGCGGTTAAGAGCACTGGCTAGTTTTCCAGAAAATCAGGGTTTGAGGCCCAACCCTGCATGGTGATTCACAACCCTCTGTAACTCCAGTTCCAGGGGATTCAATGTGTTCTGGCCTCCGTAGGTATCAAACACTCGTGTGGTGCACACTGGTATACGGAAAACTGAGTAATAAATTAATAAAGTATTTTAAAAAAAGAAGTAGGAGCCACAGGATCAGAAGTTCAAGGTCATCCTCTGCTAGGAAGAGTTTGAAAATAGCCTGGGATACTCTATCTAAAAAACAGAAAAGGAGAAGAGAGGGATGAGGTGTAGCCCCCTGTGTCCATGAGTCAAACGGGTTCACCTGGAAAGAGGGCTGAGAACGAAAAGGGGATGGAGAGCGAGAAAAGATGAAGCCAAGACAAAGTTCTCTGATCAAGGCTCAATGGTTTAATGTTAAGCTGTCAATTTAAAGGGGAAGACCCCGCCCAAACCCTTCCTAGTTTCAGCTGGGAGAGTTGGGTGGGATAATCCGTTCTTGGTCATGGGTCTCGGCAGGAGGTGTCTCAAGGCAAGCCCAGGGGCAGTTCTTCTTTCAAGTTCCTGTAGCAGGGTGTATGTGCAGCCAAGGTGGCTAGTTCCACCTAGGTCCTATTATTTGGTCTATTGTGGTAAACAAGGTCTCAGGCCTGCTGACAGCTGGGGGAAGGGCACAATTCCCCCTTTTTAGTTTTATAAATATGAGCAGTGCCAGCAGCTGGATGGGGTACAATTTTTCATCCCATCTGGGGTACAAGAGTGACCGGGCGACCGTGCCTGGCTTAGCTTGGCGTCTATATTGCTTCCTATATTACCCGTCTCTGAGGTGATACACAGCATATTGGTGTACCCCTCTACCTTAGGTTTATAGGAGCTCAAGACACTCTTACCAGTCTCTGACTAACCGGTAACACAGTGGCACACTCTTTCCCAAAATAGACCAAAGCCACATTCAGACCAAGGACCTGTGGGCATGCAATCGATGTAGTTCTTCATAGCGATGGATAACTGCCATGATGAATGGCTGGGCTTGCTGTGAGAGATCCTGTGTGAAGGCAACCTATCTGCTTGAGACACAAAGTTCCAAAGATTAAAAGCAACATGATTTATCCAAGAAATGTAGAAAATAAGGTTGGGAGTGGAAATGTTCCAGTGTCTAACCCAACTGCTGGTTGACAGGGATTCAGAGACAAAGTCTGGCCACCACGTATAGTGAGTGGCTTTAAGTATAGATGGAGACTACATGCCAGGTTACATCAGCTGGCAAATAAGGATTTTGAGCCATCTTCATCAGAATCACAATTATTAGGCTCAAGATCTGTGTCCACTTGATGGACCGATCTTTCAGGCAGCCATCGGGCTCCATTTTCTTTTTCTGAGAAAATGCAGACCGAGCCACGACCCCAAATTAAAACAGGGTCGGGACCATTCCGTGTATTAGAGGGTCTCTCCATTTGACCCTGGCAAATGAGCTGGAAGTGACTGGATGCCAGTGGTGATCCACTGCAGGCTGACCCTTAGCATCAGTTTGCAGGAAATTCAAAACAAATAACACAAAAGCAAGATGTGCTATTGGTGATCTTGGAGGGTATAATTCCCCCCCTTTAGTTTTAAGGAGCCAATTTTTTTGAGTGTGATGTGTACGTTCAACAATTCCTTGTCCCATTGGGTTATAAGGAATTCTAGTTTTATGGATAATATTAAATTGTCAACAAAATATCTCAAATGTTTAACCAGTTCCATTGCCTATAATCTGATATGGAACACCAAGCATAGAAAAATAATATAGGCAATAACTAGTTGTAATTTTTAGTTGCTTGTCTTGTTAAAACAGTTGCAACTGGAAAGCCTAGAAAGTGTTGATTGTCACATGTACATATTTTAATTTTCTAAAATTAAAAATGAGTAATGTCCATTTGTCATAATTGATTACACATAAGTCCTCAAGGCTTAACACCATTATGAAAAAGTTGAGGACACTGAAAACAAGTTTTTGCAATTTAACTTGCACACTTTCTAGAAATGCCAAATTATCATCTCAAGCTATTACTATTTTGATGATGTAAAGAATAAGATTGTATGGCCAATTGTTTCTATAAGGTCTATAATCTGACTGGTAAACAAATCTGTTCTGGCATTGCCCTGCGTTTTAGACAATCCAATATGAGCTCTTAAATGTCTTATAAAGTTAAAAAACAGTACATGTTTCTTAAATTAAGCTGTATCTGTATAAATAACTGTAAAACTTGAGAATTAGCAATATCTAAAAAAGGAACAATTTTAAGCACTTATAAACCATGAGCCATATACTGGCTATGAGTATGTAAATCGAAAGCTTGATTTTTCAGCATTTCAAACAGTGGCTACAGCATGTAATTTAATTATTTGTGCTGAAGCAGGGGGAAACTCGAGAGTGAACATGTGATATAACTACATATACTGTCTTCTCAATAGATGAGGCATCTGTAAATACAGTAAGCATCTTTTCTATGGGCTGCATGCAAATTTATAAGGAATACAAAAGCATGCATAGAGGAAACTGTAACAATTCATCTTATGGATAATTATTATCAAATTTCCCTAAAAGGTTTGCCATGTAATATCATTACTCTCCAATAACCAATTTAATTTCTATTTGGAATAAGGAATAAACATTTAATCCAAAATACTTTCAGGATTCTATCTTACAATCCTGTATTAACACTG